AGTTCGGCTTTTTTTCATCATGCTATGCTCTTTTGTTTACATTTTCATTGGGGAGTTGTCCCCCTTTCATTCTCAATGATGTATCTTAATCGTGTTTTCAAATTGATTTTATTAAAAAACAACTGTATTTTTCCCATTTTCGCCCCGTTAGAACCACCACAAGGTAATTTTATGTAGTCCTGTGAAGTTTTGTTGAAATCGGCTAAAAAAATGTAGGAAATTCGATCCAACATATAAACGTTAGACACACACACACACAATCTGCGTTTTATAATAATATATATATATATATATATATATATACACACACACACACGAGAAAGATATCTATCTCAACTCACTAATAATGGTTCAAATGAAAAACAGTGTCTATTGTAATTGTAGAATCTGTGCTATATACATGTGTTTAACTGGGATATGGAAAGAAATATACAGTTAAAAAAGAAAAAAAATTAATTCAGTTTTGTTGAAAGCCAAATCAGATTAAGAAGAATTTCCCAAGTGGGGGTGGGGTCCTTGCCTGCCTTGAAAATCAGTATTCTAAATCCTGGTTTTGACACAACTATCTAAGCCAAAAAGGAAACATATTTATCAGATTTTATCTCACATCTGATAAATCACCTCTCATAAGACAACAGATACTCCTTAAATAAAATTATTTTTATTGGCTACATAAACATTTCTATAATTACATTCTTACATTTGTATCAGTTTTCCTAAAAATAAAAGAAACCTTTTATTTATGCATTAGCAACAGATGGGATGATGGACCAACACTTTTGTGCCTCCCTCACCACACAGCCATTAGGACAGACAGTGTAGGTGGGGGTCAAATTGAAGAGTTATTTTCATTGGGGGGAATGAGGGGAAAACTGATTGTAAGGGCAATGGTAAATGAATCACCAATTTTAAAACAATGTCAGTTATCTCTTTTGGTGCCAATAAATTTCACTTACAGTTGTCTCCCTTGGAAATTTACAATCAACTAAGATAAAGTTAAAAATGAAGACAAAAGAATATGGGGAGAGGGAAAACAAAAAGATGCAACAAGAATATTCTATTTAAACAGAACACATTTTGAACAGTCAAATGGATTCTGGTTGGATGAGTTTTTTTCGTTCTGTCTTAACTCAAGTGTATTTTGCTATTTATATGAATAGAGTTGATTGTTGGGCACTGAAAACAAACATGAAATGAGGTTGCATCATTAAAAGCAGATGACATTTGGCACAGAAAAATTCATTGTCTATGGAGTTTGGCTGGAATTAGTTGGGGTAAAGAAAAACAAGGGTGGAACCAAATTCTATACTAATTAGTTGAGACACATTTTAATATTCAAGCAGAGGATAAATATGTGTGTCAGTGTATTGTGTAATATTTTCAGATCTAAATTTTTGATTTATGAATAATGCGAGATGAAAATTTATTAAAAATTTACTTTTGTATAAAACTGTGTCAATAGGCAAGTGATTTCAAGAAATAGAGGAGAAAGAAAAGCTAAAAGGAAAAAAGGGTTAAACAAATTAAAAAATATCACTTATATATTTATATAGTTTTGTAACAAACAAACACTAATCCTAATTTTGAAATTCTTAATATACTAGAGCTAAATTTAAATTTAGAACCTGTTTTTTTTATATGTATAAATATAAGATCTGTTAAAAAGTTCAATAGATTTATCAAGCATTTGGACTGGTTGAGAATTTCAATATGAAACTCATGTAGCCAAACTAGATAAGCCACTTGAATTTTTCATTAATTGAATATATATATATATATATATATATATATATATATATATATATATATAGGGTAACATTGAGGTCAATATCCAGGTGTAGGAGTCTGTTTTATGCTTAAATGCATTCCTCAGGCCATCTGTGTTTAAGCATGAAATGAACAATTGCCACTGGGTGTTGACCTCAATTGCCACTCGTGTATGTGTGTGTAAAATCTTCAGATATGATCTGTAAAAAGACAATATGAATAAAGAGAAAAATAGAACTCATCTTAGCCAATGTGTTTTGTCCTCTGATACACTTTATCAAGGCAAATGTAAGGATTTATTTTGAAACATATATTTATAAACAGAATTAAAAATGTCATTAGATTTTAAAATTTTTAAATTTAATGCTCATAAATATAAATCAGGCTAACTGAAAAATGAAAGTAAATTATGGAGGATGCTAAGTGATATAATTTTATTTACATTGCTCAGACTATCATCCTCATCTTTGTTGCCATATTTATCACAATGTTTTGGCCGTTGTATGCTCCGGCCTTCTTCAGTTGGTTGAAATGTCGAACTGAACCCTTTATTTTGCTTGCTGGAGTAGACTGTTCTAGTTCCATGTGCCATGTCAGTTATCAGTCATCTCCTGTTAATTCCCCTCTCCTATTTCTCCACTGCCTTAACCAGGTATTGAACTTACACTCTTTGGATCCTGTCACCAGATCTAACTAATGCCTTTATCCACTGCGCCATATGTCCTTGAGGATATAATTTTATGTCTAATAAACAAAAGTGAGTAAATGTTGAATTCTTTTTTATAAAGTCAATATTATTTATATTATTTTAGCTTGAGTTTATGAACTTAACAGTTTTATTTTAATTTTTAAAAATATTTTTATAGTCATGTATGTTGGTTTGGGAAAAGAGTAATTCTTTCACAGATTTATATTTTTGTAAGATTCAATAGCAGCACTCTCAAGAATTTTCTGTCTAATTTACTTTCTCCTTTAAGAAGTGTGGCATTCTTTAGATCAAAGTTATGTTTGAACTTATTTCTATGTATGGCTAATGCATTTGATAAATTGCTATGTATAAGATCCTTTTTGTGTTCATAAATACTATTTTTTTTAATTTCTGCAACTTTCTCTCAATATATTGTAAGGAAAACTTGTGACAGTTCATTTTATATAATATACCTCCATCAGAATTATTATTGTTATGGATATTTTTTGGTTCTGATCAGATCCATAAGAGTTTGGGATGTGGTTGTAATTATTTTGATAACAATATCAAAATAATTACAACATCCAAGATAAGTTTTTCTTCTGTCTTATATATAAACTCAAACCCACTCACAATTGTGAGAAGATTTCTTCAAAATGAATTCTGCTGATATATATTTTCTAAGCTTATCTTTACACAGGCCACTTGGGAATAGGGACATAGAAGAATCTATAAAAAAAAAGAAATTGTGTGTCTGTGTATGTGTGCATGCGTATAGTTAGTAAGTGAGAGAGAATCATTTATTAAGAGATTAATCAGAAAAAAAAAATTCATGGTTAAAAAATAATTTTTTAATTTTTATTAAGACAAATTAAAGATAAAAAGACAAACTGTATCAAAAGAGAAACCCATGTTTTTTTAAGAGATTTAATCCTGCATAAATCTGGTTGAAACCAAGAAGAGTCCCAGTGTGTTTGCATTATTTAAAACACAAGAAAGACAATCAGCAAATTGTGTGTGTGTGTGTGTGTGTGTGTGTGTGTGTGTGTGTGTGTGTGTGTGTCTCTCATTGTGGGTGTGTCATTTATTTGACCTTCAACTACCAAATAAGGAAAAAAGCAGAGGAACAACAAGATTTCCATAAAGTGTGTGCTGAGTTGCTTTTAATCAAGTAATGCAAGGTAAAAGAAGATATCATAGTGAGGACAGATACTGTTTTACAAAAACTCATAGAATATAAAAAGCAATTTCTGTCTTAGTACAAATGGGCTGTATTAGTAATTGTTACTGACAATAACTTTGTTTAAGAGAGATTTTTAAATTTAAGTGTCAGCAACTCTAATGCCATGTTACAGTGGCATTTAAAAATGAATCAATTCATGAGAGTCTGAGAAGACAAAACTTGTAGGACCAATGGCTGAAAATGAATAACATAGATATTAAGTATTTAAATTGAGAAGTGAATTTTTCTTTTTATTTCAGTCAAAAGAAAAAAAAAAAGGAGTATAGGGAGGAATATAAATTAATTGTTACTTTATTTCTGATGTTTAAATGAACAGGTCTCTTACTCCCTTAATTACATTAAGTTAAAAACTGCAAATGAGAAAGTTCTTAAATTTGAAATGAGTGTAAACATAATAACTATTACGCTAATAAGTTATATTTTTGAAATAGGAAAACAAAAAATAAACTATCATCCAGTTATAAGGAATTTCCATAATCACAATTTTGCTTACTTCCAAGTTTGGACATACGTTACGACCTACCAATACTTCATATAGATAATGAGCTGTTGCTTTGATTGTGAGGTAAAAGACATATCCAAGATGCTGTTTGATTTCAGTTTAAAGAAAGAGAGAAGATAGAGGAGGTGATGACACTCACATGTGTTTAATGTCTGCTTCAGAGAAATAGAAAAACTTGTCAATTTCAAAACAATTCTTTTGTACCCTCTTACTTCTTTAAATAATGACCTGTATTCATATTTATGATTGTTATTGTAATATTTTGTGAAAATTGTTAAGCTCAAATATTTAATGTGGCAATAGGCGAATTTCCATGGGGATTTTATAGTCATGGAACTCACAAGGAGCTTATTCAATCATTGACTTAAGAATTAGGATTCATCAGTGAAACTGGGAAATTTTCATGATTACTATTAATATTTATAATTCTTCTTTTAAATGATTCCATAGAAAACAGTTCATTGTACAAGAAGGAAATAGATTTAGGCTGAGAATTTTTCAGAGCCCCCCCCCATCATATATATAATATAAAAAAACAACACACTTGTGAGAGCACAGGGAGAATTAGATTCCAGTCTCTCTTTTTTTTTGGTTTTTTATGGGTATTAATAATCAAGCAAAAATTTTCCTGTGATTTGAACTTCATTTGTTAATAACCACTATGCCATGGGGCAAAAGGAAATTGAATAGGAAGACATATTTCCATGTTGATATTCATATTTTGTTATTGAGACAAGCACATTTTTCTGCTAGTAAAGACAAGAACTGATAAAAGAATTAGAACATAAAAAAATACTTACCACATTTTTGACAGCAAGGAGCAAACAATACATGAAAATCATGTTCGCAATATTTGCGGCCTTCAAACTGAAAATCAAAAAATAGGTCACCAAATTAAAACCAAAAATTTAAAGACAACAAAAAAGAAAAGAAAAAAAAAGATTGATTTTCCTTGGATGAAGATTTTTCATCATTTGTTAGATAAGTTCAACAAACCTAAGCCCCTTTCCTCTTTGGATCTGCACCTATAGCTAAATGAAAGTTAATTAAGGTATAAGATTATTTACAAAAGCCTGTGTAAATAAATATAGAATTTAATGCCATGTTTGTGTCCATACTGTGCAGACATGCTTATGTAAAGAACTGTACTGAAGAAATGGCTGCCAATAACTAGGTTAAAAAAAAAAAAAAAAAAAAAAAATTAAAACAAAATTCTAATGTGGAAATATAGAGTATTTATTCATTGATCAAATGTAGTGCCCCAACTAGGAATGAGGAGGGGCTGGTCATTGCAAAACGAGGTGTAGATAACTCTCTATTCAAGGCAGATAAATCAAACTATAACACAATGCCTCTAATAATGATTACTCAATACCTCTCTCACACACATATAATCAAGCCAGAAGGGCAGTTCACTTCTCAATTTAAATACTTAATATCTATGTTATTCATTTTCAGCCATTGGTCCTACAAGTTTTGTCTTCTCAGACTCTCATGAATTGATTCATTTTTAAATGCCACTGTAACATGGCATTAGAGTTGCTGACACTTAAATTTAAAAATCTCTCTTAAACAAAGTTATTGTCAGTAACAATTACTAATACAGCTTGTCTTAAAAACTTCAAGAACAGCAAGTGCCTCCATTGCACTGGAGAGAAATGGAGGAATTAATCACATGGAACCAAGATTCCAGACAATTCAAGGAACTTAAATATTCCAGGGACCACTGGAACTTCATTCACCAACATTCGGGCTGAATTGGAAGGAAATTTCAGAAGTTGATCTACAAGACATTTGAACATGTTTCTGCCCATGCCTTCTTCAAAATTTACAACCTGCAAATATCATGCCTTCCATCCTTCAATGTTAACAAGTCTCAAAAGTCTGCCCAATAAAATGATCTTCATCTTTAAATTCATGCAGTAATGGTAAATATTTGCCCTTCATATCAGACCCTCTGGCATTTGATGACACGTATTTTGGTTTCAGTTGGTGAAATGTTGGTCTTAACTGATTGTTGAACAACAATTCAGCAAGAGAATAATTCAGTTGTTGAATGTGGAGTAATTCTAAATGAGAATAAAATCTTTGTTGATTTTAGTTTCAATTATTCTTTTTCTTTCTCTAATGTCTCTTTATACATTCAACTTGGCCATTTCAGAATCAGTGATACAAAACTGTAAATATATGCCAAATTCTATTGAAATTTATAAACAATTTGAACTTTTCACTAATGAATCATGGGCCATTATCACAAATGGGCTATGCATAGTAAAAATACATTTGAGCTTTTTAACTGCGGATGGGACAGCAAATGAATGCTTGATACACATTTTTTGTGTTAACAACTGAGAAAATATGTCCTCTAAATGGACCAGCAAAATCTACATGTGCTTTTTCTCATGGCTGACTTGGATATTCCAAGCCATGAAACAGAGTTTTATAAAGACTGCTCTTTCCCAGAATGTATACAAGCCTTTATGCATTTTTAATGAGCATTTAGATTTGGCTACCATAGACAGCACTGAAAACCTGCATGGTTACTATTCTTACATAGACCTGATAAAGTTCTTGCAATATCACCTGACTTCCTCACAGTATCACATCATCCTCAAAGCTCAATTTGTGTTCACTTCACTTGGTAAAGAATGGCTTTAATTCAGAAATTGCAATAGAAGTTTTCTAGCCATTCAGAGTCAATACATTTACCAGACTCTGGACATCAGACTCTGTATCATTTATAGTATATGAACTGACTTCCTCTCTATCTATAAGCCGAATCCATCATATCAATTTTATTTACCAAAACCAAATAATCCTTCTCATTTATAGAAAAATGACTAAAATAATCAGCATTACTGTTGGATGATACTCAAATTTGTTTATTCCTCTGCTTGCTGATTTGGTAACAGCAAAGAAGAGGAATGAACTTATTTTTGGTAAACAGTCCCAGGAGTGGTTTATTGCCAAAGTACAGAGTGAAAAAAAATTGCCCTATAAATGCTGATGAAAATTTTTATGGCAAACCCAGATACTGTTTTTTTTTCTTTTTAATGTGGACATAATTTCTCTTTACAGTCAACTGAGAATATACATGAAATCTAACACCAGCTTTTCAATTGCACCATCCATTTTAAAAGTGATTACAGTTTATCATATAGGAAGGAACATCTACATGCATAAGAATTGATTTTGAAAGGTTGAAATGTGTCAACAAAAAAAAAAAAAAAGAAAAAGAAAAGAGAGAGAGAGAGAGAGAAAGGAGGAGGAGGAGAAGATTCTTATTTGCTCCTTACAGCCATTTTTTCTCCTCCTTTAACAGAAGATGCAACAACTGACAAATTGGGTTGATGACAATTATAATAATTCAAACATTCAAGAAAAGCTCTCTTGGAGTAGGACAGTGTGTGTATTTGTGTGCACATGTGTTGTAGGGGGGGAGGCAACCTACTCATATGGGGTGAGTAGAGGAGTTAAGTATGGTTTCATACTGAAAAACGGGTATGGGGGGAAGGATATGTGAGAAGGCACGATTGTATTTAAGGATTATTGGAATTAAATATGGGAAAAGAACTAATTAAGAAAGTTAATTAATCTTGAGTAATTAGATGGCTTGAGGAGGTCTTAAAGGAACTGAACCTAAATACCAACTTAGAATAATTGGGTATGGCCCTGTACCCACCTGCAACATGTACCAAATTAGAATTGGGTACAGCTCTGCTATACTCACTAAATCAGGTGAAAATGATGACAAGTAATAAATTATTTTTTTGGCTGAAATCAAACATAACCTCTAAAAACAATTGAGATTGAACTGTTTGACCCAGCCATCGATTAGTGTCATGTCTTAGGCTGAATAATTCTGGAGAAAAAAGATTTTCCAAAATATTCAATCAAAGACAACTGTTTGGGCCGAGTGGGGCTTCCTTATATAAAAGTCATATTCATTGAAATGTCTGATGAAAATAGTTTAAGAGAAAAAGTTATCAGAATTGTTTAGCTGGCTATGTGCTTTCCAAAACAAATGAAATCCTTAGAGAATATAACTGTCAAATTGTAATTATACATCATTGGTGACAAGCCAGCAGGCTGAATTATATATATATATATATATATATATATATATATATATATGACACCTCCACTTCTAGTCATCTTCAGGGAATTTCAAAAGAATGCCAGTAAGAGGAATCACATGAGAAATATACGATACAAGAAGAGTAGATTGTTGTAGCAGACATGAATGGACAGAGCACCAGATTATCTACCCAAACTTTGAAAAACAAGTGAACAACCAAAAAGAGACATACCAATGATGTTCTATCATCATAGTTGTGAAAAAAACCATTCAAAATTCAGACTTGAGTAATTCTGTTCAGTATTAGAATTATAGAAAGAGTTTGAGTTTGATACAGTTATTTTAACCAAAAGCTAAAATAAACTACTTTTCATTAAAATCTTCATAAGATATAAGTTGTCTTCATTATTCCAATCAATTTCTTAATTTTGTCAACTTTAGTTTAACATGATTGACTCAGGTTTGTGACATTTTAACCCAGAATTTGTGACATCTTCAGATCTTTTCAACACAATGTGGGTGAAGAAATCTCTTGACTGAGAAACAACAAAATAAAGAAATTTAGAAATAATGAACTAGAAATTAAAAAACACTGAAGAGTAAAGAATTCTCAAATCTGATCAAATCTGTACCTAATTTAAATGAATTTCAATGGAACAATGGCTATCCCATCTGCCTATTTGTGTTGGTCATGAGGTTTAGCTTGTAGACCCTTTGATAATTTAATTAGTAAATCTCATCAAGTGCTGCATTATTTTGGCCTTGTGCCAAACTAATCTTAGTAACTATTCTGCTCTTTCATTGAAGTCAGACTATGACTTATCAATTTAATACCAGAAATATAGTCAATGGTGGATCAGTCAACAAAAAAAAAAAAAATAAAAGAAAGTGGAGTGCTGTTCTCAAAGAGGGCAGGAAAATGTTTTTTTTTTTTTTTTTACTTTTTGTAGACACAAAATAAACAAATAATTTCTGATTTGGAAATTTTGTCATAAATAAAAGACACTATAATCATATTTTTCAATGATTTGGAGAGAGGGAGGTGATAAGGACAACAATAACAACAATTACCACATCTATATATCTACATTTCTTTGAGGGTAGAAAATGAAATCCTTGCAAAATTTGTCAGCGATAATTTTTAAAATTCACTTCAATTTACTGCCACCATTAATAAACTGGCTTTTCCACATTCCATACAAACAAAAGATAACAATTGTTTACAAGCCAGAATATACATTGTCACATTATTGGACAAGAAGTACTTTCATTTCTTGTTGGGTTGGGTGTGCCTACCAACAAATACAATCATCATTTGGGGGTAGGTAGCTTCTAACTGGCCACAATGAATTATTTATGAAGTATAAAAATACTTCTATTAAAAACTAAGGAGTGCATGTGTGTGTGTGTTGGAAAAGTTGAGGAGCTTGAACATCACTACAAAACTGAATTTTGCTGTTACTATTTGTGAGCCAGTACGTAGACTACTTCAAATGAAATGGGCAATGATAGGTGCTAAAGAAGTAATTGCTTCTTTTTTCCCTGGTCAATTTTTCCAAACTAAATATATTTCAGTGAGGGAAAGCAACAAAAGCCAAAACAATATACCACCCACCAGGAATAAAAAAAAAAAAAAAAAAAAAAAAATCTATATTCAGTTACAAATTAATCACTACAGAAATCTGGACAATACAATTACCACACTGCTCCCACCCCCACCCCCAGAAAAAAGTAAAAGGGGAGAAAACCGTTACTGCTAATATTCAGGTTAAAAAACTAAAAATCAATGACAGAAGTATTTACATTATTTACATTATTCGGACTATTGTCCTTATCTTTGTTGTCATATTTATCACAACGTTTCTGCCGTTGTATGCTCCGGCCTTCTTCAGGTGGTTGGAATGTCGAACTGAACTCTTTATTTCACTGGGGTAGACTGTTCTAGTTCCATGTGCCATATTTGATGGATGTCAATTATCAGTTATCTCCTGTTAATTTCCCTCTGAATGTTCTCCAGAAATTCATACTCAGATGTCCTCAAGGACACAGTGGATAAAGGCGTTGGTTAGATCCAGTGACAGGACCCAAAGAGTGTGAGTTCAATACCCGGTTAAGGCAGTGGGGAAATTTCTCATATCAATGATCTCTTGAAGTTTTTCATATATGATCATAGTTTTGGATCCAAATGTAAACAAAGAGAATTTATTAGAATGGATATTTTTTTAATCTAAATTATTTTCATCACTTTAAATGTTATAAGTAGATACTCTTATTTGAGTAGGCAGCCTGTTTTATATATATATATATATATATATATATATATATATATATATATATGTGTGTGTAGTTAAAAAATATACATGCATGCACATAAAATTGCACGTATGTATAAATATATTTTTTCTGCAGGTGTTAAAAATACAGTGGCTCAATGTTATGAGACAGAGCTATAAGTATATATTAGTGATTATACATAATATTCATTATCAATAGCACAATTCCTTGGAGTTTCATGCAGTTTCTGCAATCTTCAGGTGCAAGTGAAACGGAGTTGTGCTATTGACATTGGATATTATGTATATTCACTAACACACACGTGTGTGTGTGTGTGTGTGTGCGCCACCACATAAGCTTTTTATTTCAAGCTAATAGATTAAATTTAATATTTCCAATAAGCAAAATACTAATAATATATTTCAAAACTAATTTAAATTGACAAGAAGGAATTTTTTTTTTTGTTAACTGATTACCACTCCTTTTTAGTCATCTTGGATGGAAATGTAATTCTCTTTATTAAAAAAATCTTCCCAAAATATATTTTTCTGAATCTTTGAGAAATATTAACTCAGTTAAAGTATAATTAATCTGATTTGAAACAAATATTATTTAGTCTAAAATAACATAGAAATGCATTTTTCTAACACCACAGTAGCTGTTTATTTAAGCTGTTGACATGTTTGACAGATTGATGACAGCTTGATGTTTATCTAATGTTGTTCTATGGAGGCTTCAGCTGTAAAAAATAATTGAATATATAATGGGAGTGCCTTTTATATAAAATTTTTAAGTATTCACTAATATTAAAAATTTAAGAAAATATTCTCCATAATCTAATGTTTAATTGAATTTAAGATCCTTTCTGGCTTTAAATTTATTATAGTTCTTGCTCTTCTTGATAATGCTGGGTATGATTATTTCATCAAAATCCATAATGTAAAGGATTTTTGCAAGAATTTCAAAGCAATGTGTTTTTTACTGTAAAAATGAGGCTAAATTTCAAATACTAATCTCTGGCCCACCTGCAGATGCAAGAAAAACAAGAATTTTAATAAAAAATCTGAATGTGCTAGAAAGGATTAAAAAATTTAAATAATCAAAAGTCTTTTGGTCATTCCTCTTAATAATAATGTAAACATTGTGATAATAAACTTTCTTTTTATCAAATTTGGGACTTTTTTCATCATGGTAAGCTCTTTTTAGACATAGCGAAAAATGTTTTTTTTTAATGAATTCATATATATATATATATATATATATATATAAAATGTTGATGTCGGAGTGAACAGACATATTTTTTAATTGCTCAAAGAAAGTGATGTTGTATTTTAAAGGAAAGTTTTGATTGTTTTAATTATCCATTTAGTCTTATGTTTTTCTGTGTTTATTATAGTTTTTGTTATATTATTATGATGCATTTATAATCTTTAGAAAAATAAACATATGTATTTTCCTAAGTCAAAATATACATAGATTATTTTTTAAAGTTTGTTTAGTAAGTTTTCATTATTAAGAATGTCTGTTATCAAGAATTATTATAGAACATTTAATACATTGTATTTGTTAAATTACATTGGCATAATTCTACTTTATTTATAATATTGAAGTGTAATGTGTCTCTTATTTTTATGACAGAGGACATAATTTTCAATATTGTAGCAAAAGCATTTTGAGTTGTAAGGTTTATCTTGTTTGAGTATTTGTTCAGTATCATTGATTTCTTTTCTATCATTTATCATCCAAACATTTTTAACAACATTTGCCAATAATTTTATTCTTTTGTGCTTTTATTATTTATTGATTGTAGTAACATAACATACAAGGACGTGTTTTCAAATTTGGAAAAAAAGCGTTTTGAGTTGTAACGTTATTTTGTTTCGCTTACTTTTTTTTACTATTGGTCCAGATCAGGATCGTCAATTTCTTCCACTATTATTTATCTTGCAAATATATTTTAACAACAATAATAAAAAAATGTTCTCATATTTGATGATAATTTTATACTTTTAAAAAATTATTTTCTTATTTATTGTCTGGTTTGTAAAGAAGTAATAATAATAAGTACTGTTTACTCTGATATCCAGTGTAAAATATGTGTATGTTTATGCATGATAGTCACATGTTGTTGTGGTGGAGTGGCTTGTGTGGCTCAATGACTCTGGGAGGGATGCTGTAGAAAGTTCTAAACTCCTGGTAGGGCCACCCTTAGCTGCAAGGTTGAAGATGAGGACACAGACTAAGTACAACCAATCCCAGAGACCATAACAGTAGAGCAAGCAGATGACAATTACAATAGATCTCAACAGTTGAATCAGCAGATGAAGAGGGTTACACATGATGGACATACTACGGAAGATGCCACACAAAATTATAACAGAGTGGCAGCAGTCCATTGGAGTTTAATTACTGGATTCTGCAGCTCTCATTCTATATGTGCTGCAGAGGAAGGTCATGAAATCAAGTGTGCGTGTTAATTCTATGCAAGGCCCACATTAAACAAATTCAGGCCATCAGCACTTACTTCTACTCTGATTTTCTCCTCTTTTCTCATTTCCTCAAATCAACTCTTGGTGAAACTGAAAGCTTCTAATCCAGAATCTGCATGTTGGTGGAGAATTTAGTCATCATGATCATAAAGGAAGCAATTGGCAAAGAAATTAAATTCTTGGATATGAGATAGAGTCGCCGCCAACAAATATATAACTTTCTTGAAAAAGCAAGAATATAGCCAACATCACAGCCATTTAGTTTCTAATAATGACTGAGGAAACAGCTTAAAGGTATGTGAAACAAAACACTGATTTGGCTTTCAATTTTCATTCAGATGTTAAACTTTAAAAAAAAAAAAAAAAAGAAGAAAAAGAAAACAGTATGATACAATTTAAAAATTAAACAGATATTTGGAGTTTAATACAACTTGTTTAAATTAACTCTTGCTACCTAAATATATGTAAGTTAGCATCTTCAAATAATTGAATAGCCATTTTCTTGGCAGAGAAATTTGAAAATTATGTGATACCCCTTATTAAATAAGCAAATATAAATTATGTGTGCAATTGGTGTTAACTTGTTAATTGAAACAGAAATGTGTTATTTGTAGCTAATGGGTTTAGTTTAACATAATAATATTGAAATATATGAATGAAGGCAGAGACCAATTTTGGAAGAGCACATCTTTCAGCATATCACCATAAACATGAAATCTGGTTTGACAAAATGTTTAAGGAAATTTCATCCATGTCAGATCAAAAAATTACTTATTGCTCCCCATGCATTTATTCACTATTTTTAGTTTGAATTTTAAAGAATTATCAACATTTTTTTTCCTTTGAGCAAAATATGTACGCAAGTTCTCTAATTGAAATATAATAAATAGACAAATAAAAATAATAAACTTAATACAAACCTCATAAAATATCCCTCCAGGAAAACTTTGAAAGCATTGAGCACATCTGTGAAGTGGAGAAAGAAAAGAAAATATTAACATTTTACAAATATAAAATAGTTTAACAATTCTATTAATTATAATAGAAACCACAGAATAGTTTACCAATTTTTATTGCTCCCCACCCCAAGCTTTCAATGGAAGAGCCACCCAAAGTTGTTTTATGTGAATTGAATTCAACATGCCAAACACTTGAATATAAACAACAAAGGAAAACTTACATGAAAGTGTGTCTATAAGAACAAGTCAAATACAGTGAATACTTGCAGATATGAATAACTTGATCCGGTTACAAAATTCAGAAATGTTTAGTTTTTTCATCTACCCAGTAAAATTACATTGGTGAACACTTCTTGTGATATGTACAATTTATGGCACTCCATGTCTTCTAGTTCTAAGTGAAACCAAGCATTATATAATTATCTTCATTTTTTACATTATAAAATCTACTTGACTAAATTTCTAGTCTAAATTTTTATGGCCATTTTTGTTTTTACTTTCAGCATCTGGAACTCTGAAGACATTGTCAACTTGATTAAAGATTTTTGATAACAATTAGCTGAACAGTTTTGCTTATTTCAGGTTTAATTTTCCAACATCTTTCACCATTGGTAAAAAATACAAGACAGTGTTAAAAAGTTCTCAGCTTGAATAAGAAAGAATGAGAGAGAGCCATGAAAAATGATGTTCCACAATTTCAGCTCACATTTCAACATACTCAACACATCATTTATTAAATTTTTTTAACACTTCCAAGATGGAAAAAAAAAAGGTAACATTTTAATTTTAATTGATTTAAATAAATAATTTATTAACACAATTTTCTGTAGTCTTTCTTATTACAAATCTTACAAAGTCTCTCCCAAGAAAGTTAATTTTAATGTTTTATTTTTAACAGATTTCTCTCCTAAAGTTTTTTTTTTCTCAGATTCTTGTTTATACATAGCAAAATTTGTTTAAAGATGCTATTAATTAAAATTAATATTTTTCTGTGATATTGTTATTCATACATATATTGATGAGAAAATTTAATTTGTTATAAGTAATTTGTGTTTTTTTTTGCTAAAAGATATTTTTAAAAACGTATGTTGAATTTTAGCTTAGTTTATGGTTTAAAAAACTTAAAATAGGAGTAAACATAATATTTTTATACAAAATTAATGAAAAATCATTTAAAAATGTTATGTAAAGTTAATGTCATAATTAAATCCAATTTAATCTGATATTTTTAGATATTGTAAATGAAGTGTACAAAATGTTAACTTTGCTGCTAAACCATGCATTTTTAACTTACAATTTTTTTCGACTTCCATAATCATAAAAATATTTTTATGACAAAATACATCAGAATAACAATAGTTACTTGAAATCTGAACAATAAAAGAAATAAAAAAGTTACTTTCAGGTTTATTTTGTTGCATATTATTTTTGTTTCAGAATTCAGTTTCAGTAAGTTTTTTGTTTTAATGTGACAAATAATTTAAAAGATTAAAATGCATATAACATTACATGCCCCCTAGTTAACTGGGTGGCAAGTGATGAATTCAAAACTTTACCTAATTATATTTTAATTATAATAAAACTTATAAAAAAAAAAAAAAAATACCAAGATAAAGAGGATTAATTTTCTGTGCCAAATTAATTCTACTTTTAATCTACTGCAAACCAAAACAGAAACAAAATATCTTTGCTCCCAATGGAATGAGATAGGCCTCCAGTTCTGAATGAGAGATACATAATGACATGACCTTAAGTAAAGATTGTCACGGTGTTATCCCACATTTCATTCAGGAATGAATGTCTGAAGACAAAACAAGTTTTACTTTATGAAATCTAACCTAAAAAAAGAGAAAATATGATAAATATCAGTTGAACATTTAGATTTTCATGCCTAAGGAGTCAGAATTCAGTGTCTTATCATTTATTCTTTTTAATTATTCTACATTATAACAATAGCAGATGTGCGAGGAAAAGAAATATGTTGTACAAACTGAATGGAGTAGATTTACTGTAGAGGATTCTGAAATTAGTGCACTTTCAATACATTCTTGCTTTAATAAATTTATTTTAATTAGAAACATATTTTTTAAGTGGAAATTTTGACCAAAATTATTACAATGAACAATGAATACATTGGTGTATTACTTTGTAAAATATTCTTTTTAGGTTCATATAATTTTTATTTTCTACAAGACTCACAAGTGAAACATTTTTGCAATCTATTATATCAATTTCTAATTCACGTTTAATGTTGATTAAATCTCATTTTTTTTTAGTAGTTGTGTCAAATTTTATACTAAGTTTAGATAAATTCTTTTCAATTATAGTTGTTATCAAGCTTATACGTCATATTGTGTGCTTGGTTTTATCAAGGTTATTTGTGATATTTTTTTCAGCTTTTTATTTATGTAGATTTTCCTTTTTTGTTTTAAGTTTGTCTATATTTCTGAAATAATTAAACATTAGTAAAAGGACTTTTTTCTATTTTCAGTATCTTTTATTTTATGCGCTCAGATGTAGATATTGAAGACTACAAATTTTAATTGCTTTTAAGTTTATAACTAATGACATCCATCAAACATGATTTAAAAGTTAAGATAATACAAATTAAGAAGAAGGCCTACAAGCCACTAATGTAAATACTGTGCTTTAAGTTTATAACTATGATTAAAAAGAAAGATAATACAATTAAGACCTACAAACAACCCAATTTTTTTATCCTGATTGGTGTGTGTGTGTATATATATATATATATATATATATATATATATATATATATATATATATATATATCTACGTATGGTTTTGTTAGATAAATTGTCATCTAAATTACATAAAAATGCAAATAACACAAACATCTCATTTTAACAGATATATTTACCAAAATCATACAAAAATATATTGAAATACTAAATTTATTTAATAAAATTGCCATTGGCTTCAACCACAGCTTGCAGAATCTCCTGCAATTCTTCTGGATGGTCTCCTTGTTTAAGATAGTGAATGCTGCCATAATCTGCCTTTCAGGAGTTACAAGGAGTTTTATTGGTCTCGCTCAACTGTGCCCCACACATAATTATCAAGGGGGTGCAGTTTGGGGAGTGTGGTGGCCAGATGCATAGAGTAATGTGGTTGCAGAAAATGTCTGACAGCCATGACTAGGTTCTCCTGCTTGTGTGGAATGGTGCAGAGTCCTCTTGCTAGACATAGGGTCTTCCAGCAGACACCCTCTTGACCCAGGGCAACACTATCTCCTCAAGGCACTTAAGGTAGGCCTCCATGTTCAGTCTGAGGCCCTCACCAACAAATTTGGGAGTTTTCTGAGCTGCTGTACCCACTTAATCCCCATTAGGCTCATGTCAAATCTTCTGCATTGTCCTCAGATTAACACCCGAACGCTCTGAAATGTTCGTATCGGAGCTTCTGGTGTGAATGCCAAGCAGTACAGCATGCTATTTCAAGAGTGAATTGCATCATGTTGGCTTTTTTCTCACAGATGGTGAGGTTAACACTGGGCTGCAACATGAAATAGGCTGTCGCCACACAGTGTATATATATATATATATATATATATATATATATATATATATATATATATATATATATGTACACATACATATATATATACCAATGTACTATATCATCCACTGCGAGTCCTAATACTAATATGATATACATTGGGTCCACGAAGAATGATTTTAAAGCCAGATGGAGGCAGCATAAGTGCTCTTTCAACAATATAAATAAAAGAAATCAGACTTCTCTATCTAAATATTTTTGGCATCTGAAGGAAATAAATAGGACATCTAAAGTAAAATGGAAAATTATAAACAGGACTAGAACTTGTAAAGCTTGGGATGACCCATGTCCTTTGTGCTTCCATGAGAAACTGCACATTATTAAGTTTCTAAATAATAAAAATCTATTAAACAATAGACATGAGTTAACGGTTTTTTGCCGACATCATCAAATTTATGTACTGAATAATTAGCTAAAAACAAGTATACAATATAATAACTTTTATAATCCATAGCCCAAATAAACAGTTTAAATACCCTACAAAAAAAAGATAACCCTTTATGAAGTCGTCTAAAAACAAATGTTACGGCAGCTTTTATATGTACAAATCCCTTTCATAAAGAAATAAAATAAAAATAAATAAATCTCCATAGACACGTAAACCAGATTAGGCGAAAACATCTTCCGTTTCAAATTTAGACACCCCCACCTTACCCTAACTTGACATCTATGAAAGTAACTCTATACTGATACTTATTAACACCCAACACACCCCTACCTAATTTAAACAATTCGCCCTAGCTGTTACCATGGAAATTTTGATTTCAATTATGAATATACTATTAAAACAAGTAAATTTCAGAAATAAGTTATTTCAGAAATAAGTTATTCCAAAAAAAAATTCACTTGAAGATGGAACAGAGCTTACTTTAACTCAATTTAATTCAAATAATTATATTGAAGTTTTCGGCTCTTGTTTTGAAACATGAGACCTCTTATGTTGCGAGTTGGAATCATATTTTTAAATAAATAATTATATATATAATACATACATGAATAAAGATAAAAGGAAAACTATTCTTTACTGATGCATTTCGTCCCCTGAGGGAATTTATCAATGTAAATGTAATGATTTTATTTTGCAACATGTATTTATAAACAAAAGTATAGTGAAAGAAAAATATTTTAATATTACAAAACTTTAAATTGAAGAATGCTCTAAAATATTCTTAAACTAAGCTAAACTATGGAGGACACCAAATGAGATAATTTAATGATTAATAAATGATAATAAATCTTGTTAAATTTTATTTATCTTAATTTTTACAAATATATATATATGTGTGTGTGTGTGTGTGTGTGTGAGATAAATATATAGTTTTAACGTATGCTACATTATGAGTTAAAATGTTCAATATCATGGATAGAGTGTAGTAAATCTTCAGGGGCCATGGTTTTAAGCATGAAACAGACTGTTGCTGCTGAATG